CCAGCCGCGGCCCCCCCGCCGGCCGCCGCGGCCAACCACCACCACCATCACCACCACACACTCCACGAGGCGCCCAAGTTCACCGTGGAGACGCTGGAGCACACGGTCAACAACGACTCCGAGATCTGGGGGCTCCTGCAGCCTTACCAGCACCTCATCTGCGGGAAGAACGCCAGCGGTAAGTGGCCACGCGAGTGCTACTCAACACGGCCAACTCTCGTGGCAAGTTTGCCTCGCGCCCCCCTCCCGCGTCGTTCGAGCCACCCGTGGCCGTCCCTCGGAGGGGACCGCCGAGTTGGAGGTGGGGGGACCCCCCCTGTTCCCTCCTGGGCTCCAGCTCCTGAGGTCCCAGGTCTGAGAGCGCGCGGTTCCGCCCACACTGCGGGGCCGGGCGGGGCTGCCTCCTGCCTGCTTGCGAAGAACCCAACACCCTGTTAGCGGGCAGGTTTGCGATCCTTTGCGCGTCATAGTCCATATTTCTGCCCGAACCTTGTTTTTTTGACCTTGAAGATGCCAAATTCTCAAGCCCACGAGTTTGTGTCCCTGAATTCGCGAGGAGGCCCTTCTTTCCTCCGCCGCCCGGTTCCCACACTTCCCCGCACCCTTGGGGGGCAGTCAGGGCCCCTGGTGGAGAGGCCCCGTGGCGTAAAGGCAGAACCCCTGAGAACTCAGCTCGCTAGTCGCTGAGACAGCAGGGGAGCGGGGTGTGTGGGGGGAGAAGGTGCAGCGGGAAGACTTATGGGTCCCAAGTTTTTCCGGGGCAGAGCGCACAGCTGGTGGGTGCTGCGCATGGACACCCCTCCCCAATTTCGACCTCCCAGCTCGTGCCGTTTTGGGAGCCCTGTGGCAGGAGCAGCAGCCGTTGCCACTTGACTTAAGGAGCACCACCGGGGGCCGGGGCAGGATGGGAGTGGGGCGGGGTCCTGGAGGGGGAGGTGTCCGTGTAGGGCGTCGTTTCCAGCAGGGGGCTGGGGGGGCTCTTGTTTTCAAGAGCTCGAGCTGGCGGTCCTGCCTGTCTGTGAAAGCCGAGCTAGACACTTCAAAGCGTCCATTTTCCACAGGAAATGGTAGAAGCGTAACTGGAGAGTCTAAAAGCGAAATAAAACTTTGTTTTCTATTCGGCGGTTTGGCCGGAGGTTGCGTGGTTGAAGCTGAAATGCAGTCTTTCTGGGCAGATTTCATTCATGTTGCTGCCTGTCCGTTTCCCGGGGGCTGAAGGGGAGGTGGGGCGGGCGCGGCCGGGCCTCCGGGGGTACCAGATGTGTGCATGCGAATGCGTGTGTGTTGGTGAATCCCTACATGCGCGCGAGCGTGTGCGCGGCCGTGCGTGTGTATGTTAGGTGTGCCTGTGAGTGCGCGCAGGAGCGAGCAGGCGCGCGGGGCCAGAGTCTCCAAGAGAAGCCCTTCGGAAACCCGCCCTGCAGCTCTCCTTCCCTTCACCTGGCTCGGAT